GAAGTTAAGATGCAATTTATGTAGAAAGCTTCTCGGCCTACTAAGGGTGGGACTATTTATTAATGCTTAGCCCTTGCTGTAACAGCTGGATCTGGCAGTAGAAAAACAGTAAAACTGTAAAACTGTAGGGGTGCTACTTAGGGCTGGGGAGAAATATCCGATTGGAAAACAGCTGTAAAACGGGTTCATCCACTTTTTTACTTAATGCAGCCACTTTCCTTGAAATGCGTTTATAAAAGACGTATTGCATATAGCCATTTTTAGGCTTGATCAATAAGAAATTAAAATTTTTTTACTTCATACTTGCTACGATGTAGTCGTATCTTTAAGTATTTTCAAAACATATAAGCTTTATTCCATTTCACCTACGTCAACATTTATTATTTAATTTTATGATTATTCAAAAAATCTTACATAAACATTGTTTAGCATGATTTACCGAATATGTATTCCTAAACATATGAGGGTTATTCTCTGCATAATAAAGGTCTACTCTTTTAAAACACAAATAGTTTTATTGATACTTATTTTATATAATATTTTCTTCATGTAAAAAAAGTTGTGACTGCATGTAAAATTAATTATGACACCTGATTATATAATTTTTTAGACCAATTAACTTTAAAAAAAAATATGCCATGAATAATTGTTTTCAAAGCTAAAGGAATACAAAGAACTTACAAAATATTTTCAAGACTGAAATATCAACGAAGTTTACCAAAGGCTGAGTTTACACAGTTACAACACACGGTAATAAACTGTAGGGATAACATATAAGAAGCTTGGAGGGGTTTGTGGCGTCTTCAATGGCGGGATCAAGTTTTAATGGCCGACCTCTTAGGTATAGAAAAGTAGCTTCATAGAACTGCTTACTGCAGTGTATACCATGCAATATTTTACATATAATATTTTTTGAAAGTTCTATGATAAGTGATTGCGCTTAAATATTAAGTAAGCACCTTTAGCTTTATAAGTTATTTAAAAATTATTTATGGGTATTCAAGTAAAATAATACGAATAAAGTTTGTCAAAGCTGATATTAATTATTCAAGCATTAAAATTATTTATGGAACCACAATTATTACAATAATATGTTTCCATCGTAATAAATTATAAACGGAATTAAGTTTGGTTTCAGAGTATTTGTCATACTTTTTTGTTGTCAAAGTTTCTTAAATAACTTCTTGATATTCTTGAAGGTTTTCTTATCATATTAGCACGATTATGTGTTTTAAATATACAGTTTAAAACGTACTAATTTTATAAAGCAATAAAGCTTACCTTATAGCAATTGTGATTTGAAAATTAGACACTTAGAAGATATGAGTATTATTTTATTAAGTATGTTGTTTTATAAATAAATCCAAATTTACCAATACAAATATTTTTGTACGTTAAGTTTCTGTGGAGCACAAATAAAAGAAGAAAGCAACAGAATGAAATGTGAGACCTCAGACGTAAGGTAGAGTTTCTTGCAGTAAATCTCTGAACCACTTGTCTTGTGATCCGGGCTTAACTGCGATAAAATTAGATTTATTCCAACTTGTTGAGATAGTGGCTTCGGATTTGGTGGAAAGTACAGTACTACTTCAAAACCTGACCAAAGGTATACTAAAATAGTAAAACCAGTGTGTGGTAAATTAATAATAGCCTAAAGATTAACAGGTTGAAAATTTACCTTTGGTAAACAAATTAATTTCATAATTGTTTTTTTATTCGTTTAGCTAATGTAATGAATAAAGAAAAAAAATGTTTCATGGCATAAAATGATCTCGTTTATTTGGATTATGTGTTTTGACGCTCATTTTGGTTTGTATTAGGTGGGACTAAAAGTTATTTCTGCTTGTATTTTAAAAGTTAACAGGCTAGATTTTTAAATTAATCATGTGAATTTGTTTTTTTTCACATGGGTGTTTTTATCGAATATTGAGCTTTCATGGTTTTTTGAAGGGTCCTCGTCCTTATAATATTTAAAGTTTATATTTTGTTTGATAGCATTATAAATCATTATCCGAATAACAAACTGTGACTGGAGGGTTAAGAACAGTACTATTTTTATCTAGCAAAACATTAGCCTTTAGATCTTTAACTGAACACAATGATTACTGGGTCAGACAATACCAAAAGAAAGAAACAAACGTAGGTTTATTATTACCAGAATAATCCAAATAATACGTGTTCTATACACTCGTGTTCTGTTTCATGTTATGTTGAGTTACTAGATTAAATTGAGTTAATTTTCTAATTTGTCTTAAATTAAACTTGCTTTATGTGTATCCTTGCGTGTACAGATTTTGCTGACTTGATCCTAATCTGAAGAGTGAAAATAAGTAATTTACTTGCATAACAAACTTTATTTCTTAGGATAGTTATGTAGTTGTGCAACTAGTGTGCGAAATGGAAATTTTGTAAACGAGAAAAAATTTGGACAAAGAGGCCTGCGACGTGTTTAAATTTTGTCCAGTTTTAAAAATACTCTTAACGTGATTTTGACAATATTTTGAGTGCATAGTTTTTTTTATATTTTGTAGCTAAAAATACAATTTGCGAATCAAACGTTATTATGATGTTGTTAGGGTGTTTTGTGTCAAACTGGCATTGTTGAGGCGACTGGATAACTAACATCATAGCCAACCTCAAAGATAGGTAAACCCAAAATACTATCAAACTAAAAAAATTCCACCATTTTCATACATAAATATTTATATCATGTATGAATTTGAATGTAATTTTTATCAAGCATTAATGTAATATACATATGGTACATTTCCTGCTGGTTGCTATTCAATTAATATACATACTATGATATATTCTGCAGATATTCTGAAGTTAGGAGGAAAAGAGATAAAAATAGTGTTTCTATTCTCTTGAGAAGAAGCTTAATTTTTGTATAGGTTCTAAGCACATAAGTATTTAGTCACCAGATAAGGGTAGCCTAATATTCATAACAATGTGTGTTGTGTTTAAATACCCGTTAAAGCACCATTATACTTGAGGGGTGCAGGTAAGGCTGTGCTGGTATGATAACAATACAGTTTAAAGAAACACTTCAATTATTTGTTACTGTAAGAGTAAGATAAGCAGTATATTTAACATTAGCTATAGGATTTATAAACATTTATTTTTCCTCAAGACAAATTTTTCCTAAACATTTATTTTTCCTACAATGCAAATTCAGAGTTATTTCTAAGAACAGCCCACTTTTACTAAGAACATATGTTATGTAAACTATAAAGAAAAAATGTACAAAGTCTAATCTAATGAATATAACTAATATTATAGATCATAAACGTATACAAAAATAAATTCACTATCTCTTTTTGTGCAAAATTCCAGTCCTACGAATTTCATTCACCAGGTGTACAGCCCACAACTCCTTCGCCGACGTCTATTTTTCTTTACACACAAATAGGTATAAGCCAATAAACAAGAATCCATCTTGGGTCACTGTCACTGATGATGGCCAAATGAACAAAGTTGGCAGCACTGACAACCCCCACCGCGGGAATCTTAAAAAAAAACAGCGGATTCCGCTCGGCGGAGAAACTGCATAAAAGGTACATAGATTCCGCCCGACGATTTCGCCCGACCGAAAACGTCGTGCATAAAAGAGACCTTAGTGACTAAGGCCGACATATTCCTTGGACACAGCTGTTAATTAATAGCCCATACATTGGCAACTTAAGGGACCTGTAGTTTATAGTGGAATCCGAACCACATTTTTGACTTAGTATTAACGAATTGTAGAGTGTTTCCCATCGCAAGGGATAAGAATCTATACTACCCAACAATTTCGATTACTGCAGAAAAAAACATCGGTCTTTGTTGGAAAAATATATTTTTCGTTAAACAACAACGTAAATTTAATTTATTTCAAATGAAATAAACAAACATAAAAGATGAAAGAAAAGAAATGTGAGTCCTCAAACGTAAGGTAGAGTTTCATGCAGTTAATCTTTGAACCACTTGTCATGTGATCCGGGCTTAACTGCGATAAAATGAGATTTATTCCACAGTGCTGCGAGGGGTTCGGGTTACAAAAGATCTTCAGAGAAGAGTTGGTTTGAGAAGGTCAACCTTGTTTTTAGTTCTTGTAAAATATCATAAATAATAGATAACTTCATGGAGAGAAAGTGTGAAAGGTATTGATAAGTTTCAAATTATCAATTTTGTTATCAATTACCTTTGTCATTAATTCACAAAGAAACTGTATTGCAATTTGAACAATATTGGGTGATATAAAAGCTCATTGCCTGGTAATCTGCAATTCACAAACTACAAGTTAAACGATAAAATCGTCAATAGGAAATTGTACCAAATATCAATTTCAAATACATTGCAGCTTGATTATGATTAAAACAGCCAATCATACAAACAAAACTTCCATTACTTTTCCAATTTACATTAAAACGCATATCATCCAATACAGCGCCATTATTACACTAAATAGAATCCGAAGTGTGTACAATGTGCCTCAAGCGAGTTTGAAATGGAACGAGAAAAGTTAAACATCATTAGTTGATTGTTGTGTAGTTACGGAAAGCGCCGCGTGCAGCGCTGAACGCGCACAGTACAGTCAGTATGTCTCCGAATACCGTGGAGGAAATACCTGCGAGTTTTCTCTCGATTTTCCGCTGGTGACGCGCCACTCTCCGCAGAGTTTCCATTTAGCGACCCTTATCGGAAAACTTTCGGGATTTTTCACCGGGTGAAATTAATTGTTGAAGTTACTTTCTTCGTGATTTATCTAACTTTCTGCAGTTAGTGTAGATTCCTTTTCCAAAAGTTTATCTAGGGATTTTTAGTATTGTGCATGCTGTACAGTGTGATATAGATTTACCAGTGCTTAAAATAAAGTGTATAGGATGTTTATCAACGTAATTATTGAAAATTTGTTATTTAAAACATATATATATTTGAATATCCAGTAAATATTATGTGTATTGAAATCGTGTTGTCTAAAGTGTAAATATATTTAATTTTATTCGGTGTATCTAATAGTGTACGTAGTTAAGTGAATGTGAACAGTGGTGTGTGGATATGAAGCTGGCCGTTTTGGTTATTCTACTTCTGGTTACTACAGAAATTGCTGGAAAACATCATCACAGATTAAAAGGTAACGTAATCAACTTTTCATAAAAATATTTATGAAATAATTTGAGATTTTATTATTTTTCAAGAATCTTAGCTGCAGTATAATTTGTTTGCCACACTACACTGCTACACTGTTTTAATAGACTTTCCAAGCATTAAATAAGTCCGGAAAACAACTGCTTGCTTCCTGCTTGATGAAATAGGGTTTAATTACGTGATACTGTACTGTAATTAATTTTTACCGGACACCAGGTGATTATTATTCGCAATAAGTCGACGAATCAACAAACAAAAACATCATCCCTCTGAGAAGATATGAGTTGTGAGTGATTGTTAAGTTCTTTAGTCAGTGGGAATACATAACGGATTTGTAGAGTTTTTTAAGTTATTTTAGAGCAGTGTGCTGAAAATATTGTACGTCACTAGTCCAAAATGTGTTTACCGTACTCGAATGGTAATACCGTTCAGGTAAACACCTTTTTTTCTGGACTAATAACATAATATACTATTACCAGACATGAACTAATTATAATCGGTATGTTTTTATAGTATCAAATTTCGCAAACCATGTCCTGCGACTATTCCATATAACTGTAGTTCAATGCAACTGGAGAACATTGTCGTATAGATAAAATTCAATCTTTTTAAGGTACCTATTTAAGGACATCAAGTACAGTGTGCCAGTTAAACAAAAATATAATCCTTAGTCTAAAAATGTGCATGCAAAATATTATACACAGTAAGAAATAAACTTTGGTTAATCGTGAGAATAATAAAAAAATAAAAACGCATTAATAATTGAATAATACATTTGACTTTTTAATCCTGCTCAAGTGGTTATCAATGTCACATTATAATCACAGGTTTTATCAAATAATTTATGTCCTCCTAATATGACCTGATTGATGGAATTAATTTGTTGCACGCTATCATTTAATTGTGTTTCATATGATATTTGACTGAACTTAATTTTGTTCAGTTTAATTAATAATTTTGATTTTCACCTTTCATACGAGGAAATAATGTAAAGTCTAATTAATAAATAAACATTGAATTTTACAAAATCATTTCAAAAAAGAACCTCATTATTAATTACAGTCACCCATTAATACGACGGTTAACATCAAGTTTGACTTTTTCAACGTGATTAATAGATATTTAAATTAAGAAATTGACTATATACAATATGAACCATCAAAATGTATATATGCGATACATGTTTATATGGCTTTTTGATATTTTCCATATGGTCTGTATAACATTGCCCTAACTTTTTACGTGTATAATTAAATTTACCCCTCTATTCTCATCAACCACTATAAGTAAACACATTATACTCTGAAGATTTTTATATGATTGTTCCAGTGAAAATATGCAACCGAGGAGGCCTAAAAAATGTTTCACATTTAGAATAGAGGTTTGCATTGCAAAACACTCATTTTTGTCTACAAATAAATTGTAGTCAATACAGTAATTGATTATTGGCTTACACAAAAGGGTTACTTACAAAAAAGAAAATATCTTAAAATCTCTTTTTTGCATATACAATGTAAAAATAAATAGTTTTTCCTCAGATATAAAGCGAAAACACAGTGCACTATTCAACATTATATCAAATCAGGCTAAGAGTTATGTCTGCCGGTTATTAGACTAAATTGCGTTGAAAGTGTTACGTTTACCAACTTGCATTTTGCTAACTTTGATTATTTCTGGGTGTTGTGGAAACACGTTGGTGGTAAAATAATTTCCAAAATAATATTGTGAACTATGGTGATTCAAGCTTTAACTATTGATACAACTTGACATTTCATCCTCATGTTGAAGCAGTCACCAGTGTTTCAAAAACAAAAACTGTGTTTGGTGGTAGCTGGTCCATATAAGATGTCTACTCCATGTAATAATCAATAATCCATGTTAACAACTAAAGAAATCGAATGTGTAATTTTTTTCCAAAAAGACATTTTTTTGGGATAAATTCTGGAAAGATCCGTTTGATCAATTTACATTGAAACCAGCTTATGTTAAAGCATTAATGTTCATGTCAACCTCAGTAGCTGATTCTACCGTCCTAATATAGGCTACCTTTCATATTGCACATAATTTGACCTCTAAAGCCTAAAATTGAACAACAATTTTTAAACTAGAAAATCTAACCCAATGTGCTAAGTGTTTAGAATCCAAAATTTCGCATACTCTAGAAAACGAATAATGGATCATGAAAGCCACCAATAGGTAATAAATTTCTTTGATATATTAATTCAGATATTCTTCCAATTAGCTACTTAACAAATCGTCCCATCTCAAAAAAGCTCAACCTCCCTACACTGTTACAGGTAATGCCATGCATTATGAAGCATTTCAACCCAGGAAAGAACCCTAGAGGCCCTAGAACGTTTACAATATTTCAAAAGTATATTATGCAATTAAAAGATAAATTTTATATGTATGTGTCAAATACATAGGTAAGCCGTATTTAACAATAAAAATGTCTATATAAAGATTAATTGTATCATACTATAAAGATTGCAAAACCTCTTATAGTACAGTGATCAAATACAGTAAATCTTACTAGGTAATCATCACCATACTTATGGATCGTTTAAACCATTTAAAAAATCTTTCAATTATTCTCCAAACGACATTTACATAATTGTCAACCACATTTACTCACGTTACTGAATTAAATTTGTTAACTTTACAATGTAATTAAAATCTTAATAATTTTTGTAGAAACATCAGAATTAGTTAAATATTCATGTTAATTAACACAGTTTAGCAGTTGTTCAGAACTCAGTCTAAACTTCACAAGACATCCGTCACAGTGATGTTGGATTTGCCCGCATTTGCATATTTTTCCAATTTCAACTTTCTCAATAAATCTCACTCCTTTCCCGGAAAACGGCTGTTCTCTACTGTAAATACTAAATCGGAATATCACACTTTTATACACTCTCAAACACCTTTGTGAAGCAAATAGTTGGGATGATTATTTGTACTTGTAAAGGCTACATATGTATTACTTATACTTTACGTTTTGAATTATGTTTTATTTACAACGGATCTATATTATAATGAGTTCTTCAAAGTGATATATGTGTGTGTGTGTTGGTGACTTTGTTTGTGTGTGTATGAAGGTATATAGAGCAAAACACTACACCCGTGGTCCTATTTTGACGAAATTTGGTATGTGGGTTTTAATCAATTATGCATATGGTTTTATTTTTTTAATCAGAATTTTCGATGGTTCAAATGATTTTGATATCAACCTAATGTTATGGTCCTTTTAACCCTAAATCAAATGGTGTTAACCCCAATGCCTTAAAATGTATGGTTAAAAAGTAATTGCAAGCTATGTGGTTTTACCCATATAATATCATAGTTACTCCCACCACTTACCCATTATGAGACAAGCTAATGGGAGAAAGTATATTTCAATTTGCAGAGACTCATTAATGACTGTTATATTTACTTAATTAGCCATACATGTGCTAACGCATGAAAGATATTTAACGTACATTCGTTGCAAAACTTGGAAAATGTTTCACTTTCAAGTATGGAATTTTCACATTACTCAATTTCAAATTAAATTATATTATGTAAAATTTGTTTGTTCAAATTTTTATTGCATGCGTTGTACTTTTCTCCTTTAAATAAAAATAATAAGATTAAAGCGATCTTACTAAAAGATAAACTGTGTTTGGAAAGAAATATCCTAAAATCCTAGCTAAGACAATATTTTACATTACTATAGTATTGTCTTATACATTAGGTGTTTAATCAACAACAACAGTAAACAATACACATAAGTCATTGCTGTTTTATAATTATGAAAAACATCTTCAGTTAGCGGTCTATTTACAAACTGAAAATTTATAATAACAACTTAGGTTGTTGTTCGAACACTGTATGAAATAATTACGTCTTAATAATTTTCATTCAATGTAAAAGTAAAAGCCATTACTTAGACAACGTAACATGAAAGTTTACATTTATAGTTGACGGTTATTAGACTAAACTGTCACAAACACTTATCTTCTGCAGCTTTTAACTTGCATCAAGCCAACTGTCTTACATTGAAATTTCTCTAAAATGACCTATTTAAAAAATAATGAAATAAATAGATACAACTATTCTGATTTCAACTATTCTGCTTGGTTTTTCTGGGTGTTCGAGATTTCTAAACATTTACTACGCTATTTAATTTTTAAATAATACATATAATATGATTTATAAGTGTTATTGAAACAGAGATTAACAATGTTTCAACGGTTTGCATATACGGTGTTTATTTTACAGAAAATACAGTATTTCTATTCATTAAAATACAGAGTGTTAATGTGATCCACGTGAGTAAATTGTCACAAACTCAGCAACTCCTTTGAAGAATTTAACAATTATCTGTGCTTATTAATCAACACAAAACACTTCAAACGCAGATAAATTTGGTGTTACTCTTTAGCAGTTATCTAATATTTAAATTATAAATCATCACTAAACATTTAAAAAGATCAAATCCTTAAATTAAAAATGTCTTGAACATTTATTTTTGTAAGATTTTAACTCTTTCACTTGTCGCAGTTGTAACAGCTTGCTAGATACTTTGTCTTAACTGCTTTGAGCAACAAAGTGAAAAAAGCTGCAGTCATTTAAGTTGTTTATTTGATCCGTGTATTTTTGTTGTAGGTTATTGTTATATTAACTAATCGTATTATTTGTTTATTTATTTACGGACAATCCATTTTACAAGAAATACAAAGTGACTGTTGTGCTCATTTCACATATTACATACAAATCAACAATACAATCAAAAAGGTGCAACAACAGTGCAGTTATTTAACATAATAGTACTTAAACTTAACAATGAGAGACTTGTGACTAGAATGTAAAAATAGAACAGCTACGATATTACAATAATTTGGCACATAAACACATATATAACTTATACATATTTAATTAAAAAGGCGGACGAGACATAAAAATTATTGATTACGATGAGAAATATTGATTGTTTACTAAGAAAAC